TAATGAAAACTGGGTAAAAACATTATATTAAATTCCTACATCTATTAAATAAACAATAAAATTATCTATCAAATAAATAATAAATAATAAATAAATAAACTCACAACACAGAACTATGCAAATCAGTCACAAATGTCTTCTTCTTAGGTCTATTTATAAATATTTATCGATTGACAAGCGCTCAACCGCACGAGCTTTCCATACATTTGGAAGACTTTGATGGCAATAACCAATAAGATATATATGCAGAATTTACAATTGTTGGCGAGTACGATCAATATAGACTGATCACCTTGGGTTATCACAGAAATGAGAAATTCAACGCATACGATCGCGAAAATAATCACAAGAGTTCTGGCAGCTGTGGTACAATGACTGTGCAATGACAATTTAACATAATTGTCTTTGTTTGTTTTAAGCAATTTAAATGGCATTTACTATAATCAGAAGGTGTACCGATATAATGCCATATTTTGGGAAAGCAACGTCTCCTTGAAAAAGGTCAAAATTCTTGTACGCCCTAAAATAATGGAGAAAAGTAATGATTCTAATGTCGAGCACTCATGACTAGAGCACTCTTGTTTTGATTATTTGTATATCCTTGCATAATGTATTATAATTTTGTCTCGAAATGTGTATTGCATAGAAGGACCGACGAAATAAAGTATATATATTCTTGATCTCTCTGCTTAATAGCTATTGTCATGAAACTTTACAGAAGTGCTTCTTTCTCCTATCAGTCACACCACCCACGAAACCACTAAGAAACAGCGAATAAATACATCGCAACTAAACCATATTCAAGCCATCAAATGAGTACACAGACACATGCGTAAGTACAAATGTATCTACATACCAACAAGACGATGACCACATAAAGCAGAGTACATTGTCCTACATTGTACAAACACCAATGTCAGCAATTTAACAGGATGCAGAAACATCAACATCAGCGACCACTTCAGACGTCAACTCAGCAGTCTTGGACCCACCAACGGCAACCACACATTTATACATATATACATAACAAAATAAACCAGTTGACAAAAAAATATCCAATATCGAAAATGACATTTTTGTCAGAAAATTAGAAACCTTCCAAGATGGACCCATTCCCAACAGCTGCACTCACGTTGGAGATGATCCCGGCATTCATACAATTAGGAGGTTCTAGTCGGGAGCTCCCGACTAGGGGATACCCTGAATCCTCTTATTGGAACTCCAAATTCAGTAGTAGTAACAAAGATAAATTACAACAAAAAATAAGTTCCCTTGGCAGGGTTCGAACTCGCAACTAACCGCACTACTGACCGCCGTCTCTACTCAACAGCTACACCAGCCACAAAAAGAAAAAAAAAAGTTTCCCCGGTAGGTCTCGAACTCGGGACAGAGAGCACCACTTGCCACCGCCTCTACTCAAGAGTCACACCAATAATTGAGCATTTTTGAGAAAAAAACTAATCAAAATAGTAGCACAGAAAACAATACAATCGCAATTATAATGCTGTTGATGAATTTGCGCTGGTGCCGCAAACACGTGTTTTTTAACCGATCTTCATGAAATTTTCTACAGTATATCTAATTGTACCATAGAATATTTGTGTATTCTCAAAAAGTTAATTGCAATAAAATTGTAGCTTAAATTGGTGGGCAATAGAAGTTCGGTTATTAACTTTATTAATAGCTATGAGGTAGTAGCGGGGAGGTGGCGATAGGTATTATATGAGAGATACTTGATATATACATACTATTCTAGAGTAAACATATCACTTTTGGTGACTCTAGCTCTTATTATTTTCCCAATTTGCTAAAAAAACAGGATTTCAATTTTCGATTGCTTGGAAACTGAATAAGTTATCGATTATTGGAAACAAACTCTGCGCATGAACTAGGAGGACCTACAGCTAAAATGTCAAATCTCTAGCTCTTATAGTTTCTAAGATCCTTGCGTTCATACATACGGACGGACGGACAGACGGACAGGCAGACGGACACGGCTAGATCGACTCGGCTGTTGATGCTGATCAAGAATATATATACTTTATGGGGTCGGAGAAGCTTCCTTCCGCCTGTTACATAGATTTACATTTTGCACAAGTACAATATACCCTTTTTACCCATTGTCAATGGGTTCAGGGTATAATAAATAATGCTAGGTTTGATGGTCCTTGCGACAGTGGGACGGCAGGTCCCGACTAGACGGTTATCCAACAGCGAGTCAATGGTCTGCCAGATTTCTATAGGGAATGGAAAACATATCGCGCGGGCTTTGGCAACTTTGGTGGTGACTTCTTCTTGGGTCGGGAAAATATTCATCGATTGACGAGCGCACAACCGCACGAGCTTAACATACATATGGAAGACTTTGATGGCAATATCCAATATGTAAGATATGCAGAATTTGCAATCACTGGCGAGGACGATCAATACAGACTGATCACCTTGGGTCGGGCTAACGGTAATGCAACACATTATACCATGGATTATCACAGAAATCAGAAATTCAGCACATACGATCGCGACAAGGATGACAAGAGTTCTGGCAACTGCGCAAGTCGAACCCAATTTGCTTGTGGCTGGTGGTACAATGACTGTGTATTCAGGTACGAATTACTGCAGCTTTGTTACAATAATTACAATTTAACATAATTGTCTTTGTTTGTTTTTAGCAATTTAAATGGCCATAATGTCATATTTTGAGAAAGCAACAACTCTTTGAAAAAGGTCAAACCACTTCTTGTACCTCCCAAAAAGCATGTTGAATAATATAAAATACAAATATATAAGATGTATATATGGGTTAAGATTAACTTCTATCTCTGTCGGTCACTAATGATTTTTTTAAAATAATTTTTCTCTATCTGCTGCTGACTTGGCCACAATTTGAATGGAACAATAGAAAGCAGACAGCTTATTTATTTGTCTGATTTTCCAAATGCATTTTCATGTCTGAAAACTGTCTAGCATAGAACCAGGTTCATTGTGTGCCCCCCGTGGCGTGGCCTGAGGGTGATTACACATGAAATATACATCAGGAACTAAAAACTATAAATAATAAACATAGCTGAAAGTTATGAGAGGATAGCTTTAAATCTGACAATTAGACAGTGAAGGGATAAACACTCGTCGAGTTGTTAACAAGACAAAATAAATAACAAATGGAGGGAACTATAAACGTATTATTATTGTAACTATCAGATGTGTGTAGTCTTACCCACTACATAACATTTAAATACAACTTGTTGTTACTACTACAATACCACATCTATGCATCGCTCTGGGATGCGAGCCCTGTTTCTCGTTCTTTAATAATTCAATGGAATATTTCACATAATGCACATTTTATAATTGTCGGTTAAATTTATTACTAGCTGTTGTGAATTCAATACCAAATGCATATACTGGCCCGAGGTACGAACTCGGTTCCTTGTTAAAATATCGATAGTTGCACGGGTTTTGTAAAAATTGAGTGATATGCTCCACTTGAAATGCGCCCATAACAATGCCATAATAGTTAAGTGCTACCAACAACGGCCACAGCACGCCCTATTACGGCCGTAAACACACACACGCACATGCACACTATAAATGCATATTTATGCACTATAAACATTAATTTACTTGCCATTTAGTTAGACGCACAGTTAATTGAAAACAACATCAAAATGAACGTCCCCCCCACACGCCCCCAGCACATGGTCATGGCTGGCAACCAAAAGCAAACAACTTTAAATTATGCAAGAAGTGGAAAATGCAACAGCAAAAATTGCAACGAGCGTTAAATGTGCGTTGCGTTGTGGGGCAGTGGTTGGCGTGTGCGGTGGGGCGGATGGGGCGGGTTTTGTGGTAAGCGCCAGTAATGCCAAATTTAATTGCAATTAATGTGCAGCTAACCGGAAGTGGCACAGCAGCATGCTAGGGCCCTGGTACTTCCGGCAACGGCTGGCGCCAAAGCTAAAAATAATTTTGATGCCACATGCAGCAGAGCCTGCACAAATGTATATAAGAAACCGTGCCACATGACACCTGCAACGGCAGCAGCAGCAGTTACTGTAAACGGGTCGCCAGTTGTTATGATGGGTCTCCATTTCAGCCGGAATTCAATTACTCGTGCACCATAAACCGATTAACTTATATAAATATTTATATCGGTGAAATGCACACGAGCTGGCTTTATGGCTGGGCGTGGTCAGGTTGGGTCAGCTGCCCCCCGCGCTCAATCGTGGTCTGATGGTGTGTCTTTGCATATGCAAACACTTTTACTACAAACCCATTCCCAGCCACAAGGCCATCCCCATTGCCATCCCCGACTGTGGCAATAATTCCATTCTGCATTTGCATTTGTTGGCGTTTATGGTCCACTTAAGTGTTGTCATTCGCATCCATGTATGGCCAAGGATTTAATGATAACACGCTAGGTGTCATTTACAGGTGACACGAGTGTGTGTCTGAGTGTCTGTGTATCTGTGTGTCTGTCTAAGGCAATGTGAAGCCAACTGAGTGCAGGCAGGGAATGGGCTAGTTCTACCCGCACTTGCGACTATAACTGGCAGTTGCTTAGCAGCCGGAATCGGCAAGTAGGGGGTAAGGTGGGCTGGTACTTCTAATGTCTCTTGTCTTTGGTCTGTGTTTTGTTCCATTTATGTTCGAGCTGTTATGTGGGCTGGCAGCGGCGACAAGAGGTGTAACCAAAATGGGTCTCATGGTCAGAGCGGGACAGATTGTGGCCAGACTAGGGCCTGATTTATTGGTCAATGTTGATGCCAGAAATATCAACTGGTGCGGCCTGCAGTTGTGGCTAGCTTGAGAGAACTTGATAAGATAACTAAATATATATATATATATATAATGGTTTGCCTAACTGACCAGCTGATTGAATGATGATCAGGAGACAAATACAAAGACTAACAACTGCCCTTTGTAAACAAAAGGGAGTTTTTTTTTTAATTCAACCCTATATATTAAAATAATTATTTACATTTCACTTTTCAACGAAATTTAATGTTCAAACTTTAAACTTTTAATTTGAGCTTGTGACAATTTCAAACTGATTTCCACACAATTCCAGCTCGTCCAGCCCATCCCCATGCACTTTGCTTCACAGGCCCCAGTGTCGGTTGTGTTTCAGCTGCAGCTGTCGCAGTTGTTTCTCGAGGGCGGCACGCCCCTCGAACAGGCTCCTCTGCTGGAGCAAACGCCTGGCAAACGCATCCCGCTGCAGCTGTGTTAGCTGCTCGCGCAGCCACAGATGATTGGCCTGCAGCTGGCGCAGCTGGACAAGCACATCGACATCATTCTGGCAGAGATCCACGACCGTTGAGTGCGCCTTCATTGGGCGTCGTTGGCAGCTGTCGAAGACATGAGAGGCTAAGCATTATTGAAGCGGATGTGGCGCGGATGTGCGGTTAAAGCTGGCAAAAGTTTGCCCTAATCGCAGCAAAAAGTTTTTGTCTGCAAAAATTACGTATACGCAGTGAATGCCACCGCCTGTGTTTGCCTGCGTTATTGTTTTTCTGTTCGCCTTCTTTTTTCTAGCTGATTGACTTATAAGTTGAAAATTTGCCAGCATTTGGCCAGAGTTTTTAGCTGCTGCCTAATGTCTTGGCTGCTTTGCTGAGCAATGCTCACTGATGCGTTTCTGAAATTTGCCTGTTGCCCGCCCCACTTGCTCCCCATCCTGAAGGTGTGGCACAGACAAAATTGCTTTTACGCTTCAGGCTTCAGCCAAGCATAAAAATGTCTGCTCGACGGGCCGCCCTATGTTCCCGCCAGCTCCTGTCGATGTTCGATTTCCAACCCTCGATTGATTTTGCATTCAGTTTCTATGCAGCCAAGGCCCACTGCACATATGCACACAATTCTTTGCTATTTTGGCCAGTGTAAACCTCAGCTGAATGTGTGCGAGCAATTATGAGTGGCATGAAATGATTGATTGTAATTGATTTATATCTTGAAACAGCAGGGCTTTTTTCTTCTTGTTTGGAAATGGTTAAAACCTTTGCCAATCCAAGCATTACGAGCTCAAAGGAATTTTACCAAGAATTTACACACTACCAGCAAAAGCGAGAGAGTAAGCTAGCTAATACTCCTTTGAGCCACTTTGGTGCTCCAACGCAACAGCAAGAGCAAAAACTGTGATTCAGGCTCAGCGGTTTTGCTTTCAGCAACTATACGGTAGCGCCAACGACATGTTGCGGCCGTGGTGGGCCCAGCCAGCCATGCGTATACGTAATATTCGGGTGCAGGCGCTTGTTAAATGCGTTTCGAGCACTTCGAGCATGCTATTGCTGCAAATGTTCAACTGTTCGACATGTTCTGCCCTGGCTCTTGCTTGGCAGGGAGGAGCTTGGGAGGCGGGACTAAGCTTCTTGCTTGGCATTCATAAGCTGTTGCATTAGCGGCTTTTGTGATGCCTGAAATTTAACGCTTGTTTTCTATTTGCAGCTTATGCTTTAGGCAATTTTTAAAATACGATTTAAGCAGCTATTAGGCATAAATATATGTGTATTTTAATTGTAGCCTAAAGTTTTTAGCATGAGCAACTTTTCGAAAAGCATTCCCGAGAGGTTCTTTGGCCTCAATCACAGAACTGCTCTAGTCGGGAGTGCGCGACTAGGATATACGCTGTAACATACCCATTGAAGGACTTGCATTGTTGAATAGGTTACGAGCTTTAAAAAGTTATCAGGGCACACATATGGCAACCAAATGTATTTAAATACCAAAGGGTATGGCTATAAGCTCTATAGTTTTCAAAAATATATATAGTTTATAAGGTTTGCCATTTTCACAAAAATAGTATACCCTTTTCACAAATTATCAATGGGTATAGAGCCATTTTCAACGGTCATTAACTCGAAAACAATAATCAAAACAGCAGCAGAAGCAGCAGCAGGCGAATAACGAGCTGCCTGATGAGCGCAATCAGCGTGAACAAACTAATAAGGACGATGATTGCACAACAAGGATAATGCCTGCTGAACGAGAGAGAGAGAAAGATTTCAATGTACACAAATTGATCATGCAGCTGTCAGAGCGTGTCCGTGTGCGGACAGGTAAAAGGCATTTATGACTTTAATATGCAAATGTGCAAAAATGCAGCTCACCTTTATGGCTTAAATCCCGTAAAAATATTTAATAAATGTATTCTGAATTGTTCGCTGACTTGCGATTATTTCAAAGTTTGATACAAACCCTTAAAGCAGCGCCAGCTGTGTGAACCCCTCCCAGCTCTGCTGCCAGAGGCTGCCCAATTGAAAATCTATGCCACTAAACTGAAAGCCTGCTTGCGTCTGTCTGTCTGCTTGTCTGTCTGCTTGTCTGTCTGTGTGTCTGCCCGCCCGTCTGCATTGGCAACTTAATTATTTCAGCGGCACGTCGCCGTCGACTGGCGCTTAATCCAAAACTCACGACAGCTGCAAGAAGGGTAAATAAAAAAAAAAAAAAAACATGAAACAGCAGCAGAAAAGAGCAGTGCAGGGGCAAGTGGAATAAACAAAAGTTTGTTGCATGCAACGGCAGCAGCATTGAAAATCTGTGCTGAAAGATAAAGTTGCCAGGCAAACGGATTTAACTGCAAGGCGAGCGAGTGCAACGGGACTCGTGGGGCGGGTCAGATAAGTTACTATAAGGACACAGCCGGAAGATGAAGTGTGCGTGGGTGTGTGCGTGTGTGTGTGTGTGACCCCATTAAGCCAGACACGCCCACGCATCCTCTTGGCATGTGCTGCTGCTCACGATTCCCAGTGAATCCTGCGGCATTATTCATGGACATGATTCATTAGCACGATTTCCTTTGTATTTCTCTAAAAAATAAAAATAAATGCTAGAATCCCAAAGGAACTCCTTGACTTGCTCAATTTCTGTCAAGCAAACTGTAAAAAACTCAATGTATATCTCTATTTATAGAGCTTGGACATTTTGTTGGCGAAAGCGTTTTCAGGAATGTCGCAGCATTTTCTACAACAACGCAATGGTAGCTAAAAGTATTTTTAAAGCATCCAAAAGTATCCATTTAACCTTGTCTTGAGTTTTTCTTGGAGCAAACTGACAAGCTAGCGTTTTGCATGCGAAAGCGTTTTGGGGAACGCGCACATTTGCTTGGCTTTTGGGCGCATATTTAGCCGAGTCTCTTTTTAAATGACTTTGGCAACTTTGGCAGGCCAAAAGTAATTAATTTTTGCTAAGTCACTCTCAACAAAAAATAGAAGAAAATAATAAAAATAAAATTTTAAATATAAAAAAAAGAAGTAAATAAAACGCACACAAGCGGCACAATTAACGCCTGCAACTTTAATTGCGTTTTAATGGGCTGGGCGGAGCTTGGTAGGCATCGTAGCCCATATATGCGTTTGCAGTTTGTGAAATCAGTGTATGTGTGTGTGTGTGTGTGCTGGGCTCCAACGTGACATGTCAACCACAGGCGGCGGCTTAAAAGCGTAACAAGAATTTCGCCGCGCCTGAGTAACATGACAAGCGGCACACACACACACACACACATACACACACACACACACATACACACACACACAGGTGAGAGCCTGTCTGAGTGCCAGCCTCAAAAGCAGCTTAACGAACACACTCACACAATGAGACAGAGGAGTTCATGCACAAGCCTTGGCCAACTATTTACATATCGCCCTATTATGGCCGGATGCGGACACGAGCTCCAAAACTCAAACCACGTAACACAAAGTCGTACCCAAACCCCTTACCGTGGCCCGTAGCTGGTGTGTCCTTTGTGCTATGTCTCTTTCTAAGCGACGTGATTAAAATTTTTATGTCCTTTGAAATTTTGAACTCAAATGCTAGCTGCCTGCTACTGGCTATGACGTCAACGTTGCTGCTTTCGCCGCACAAATCACATCATCTGCCCTTTGTGGGTCAAGCAGCGCAGCCACATATCTATAAACTCGTAAAGCTCAAGAGCATAAACAGTAACTGCAACTGCTGTGCCACATCAGCAGCTGGGCGAGCGCAACTAAATAGTAGATACATGTACTAGTCGTACATGTCTACCCGACCATAAAGAGACAGTTCCAACATGACATGCAACTGCCCCCCGGTCGCCAACCTCAACCCAACAGGGCAAAAGCCAGCGTCAGGTAAATGTCAAGTGCTTGCACTCGAAAGAACAATGAGTGGTAGGATTATTTGCTGTTATGATGTTTTTGAAGACTCGCTGATGACCAACAAACTGTCAAAATAGGAGAAGCTAGAAAGCTGGTGCCGAGACAAAACCGATCGCAACTGTGGAAGATTTGTGGAAAACGGTTTCATCAAAAATTTTGTGCTGTGGAAAAAAAAATTAAAACAAAATCACTTGAGGGCTGAGAATTTATTGCATCATTATAAATATCATAAAGATATCGATATACTTACATATATATAGTATATCAATTAATTACTTTTGCCTTCAGCATTCAGCTGTCTCAACAAATAAGTCAAGATATTTTAATTGTTTAATATGCTTTTAATTTTAATGCGTTCGCTTTCTGCTGACCCAAAAATGAAAATGCCAAAAAAGACTAAAAAGGATGCAAACGGATGAAATGAAAAAAATTGTGTCTCATTTGGGGAAACTGATAGCAAAGGCTCCTCTCCAGCTCACAGTAATGAGGATGCCATTCATAAGGCCATAAATAAATGCAAGAGAATGTGGAAAAAAAGGGGGACTATGGGGAGCCGGTCTTATCGCGGGCAAGTGGGCATCATTAACCTGGCGGCATCCAATGTAATTATGTTAACTGCTAATTGTGTGTGCGGGCACTTTGGATAAGTGGCAGGAGAGTGGGCGTGGTATGGTACTGGCAGTGGGTGTGAGTCACGCAGTCTTATGGCCATTCAATGCAAAAACGGGCAGCATGCTGATAACGTCGATTGGCCAAAGAGCAGGCAAAATAACAATGATTGTATTTTCAGCAGCGGCATTTAAGGCAAACATGACACATGCCACAAGGAGCGTGGGCGAGGGGGTCGCCTGATCCTGCCAGTGTTCGCAATTTCGGCCCGCGGCCAAGTGAAAATGGAAAGTGCGCCTCTGTTTATTGCTTTTTGGCTGCACTCTTTGAATTAAATTGCACTTTTTATCAATTGGTATTGGTTGTTCAAGTGGATTTATAAAATGTGAATGTTGAACATTAAGCATTTAGCAAAACAATCGGAAAAACTCGTTAACTGCGCAACGCTATTAAATTTGGCGCTTTTCTGATGTTGATAAATTTGATTTTCCCGCCATGTTTGTTTATCGACAAATTGCAGCAAACCATTTGAAATGCCAATGCCAATGCCGGCGACTGACAGGCCAAACAAACACTCAAGCCCACAACACCCAACAGCAAGAATTGGTAATATGAGTTTAAAAATCTTTGTTAGGGTATTTCCTAAATTTGTCCGGATCAGAAAACGTTTTCTTCAAATTTACATATCACTTTTTTATTATTCATTAAATATTATTCGATTTTGGAAAAATACAAAAAACAAATTAAATTTAAAACGGCTTGGACTAGAATTTAACTTTCGCCCATTTTCCACCGAGGAGGAGATTGTATTTTTCACAATTTTTTTTTTATCCATATTTACAAATCACTTTTCCACATCTGACTCACTTGTGGTAAAATTTTAATCGAAACTTAGTCTATACTTAACTTTCGCCCATTTTCAACCGAGGAGGTTGTATTTTTCACAATGAAATTTCACAAAAATCCTAGACAAACAATTGTTTTACCACCCTCTTCAGACATTAGGTAGGGTATTTTGTGAATTTGCTCTCAAGGATTTTTTTTATCCAAATTTACAAATCACATTTCCACATAAAATAAACCTAAAAGTAGCCTACTGAAAGGAGGTGGAACTAGAATTTAATTTTCACACATTTTCCACCCAAGGGAATTGTATTTTTCACATGAAATTTCACTAAATTTCTGCAGTTATGGCTAAAATTCTCCAAACCTAAGTCTCAGTGTGCGCGTACATCACATGGAGTGACTGCAGTAGCAGACTACAGTCAGCAAAATAAGTTATTTTCTTATCAAAGCTTTCAGATAGCAAGCTCTACGGGAGAAAAACTGATACACCCAGGCAGAAGAGCTACAAAGCATGTTCGGAGTGTGTGTTTTGTTGTTGGCAAAAACATAATTTACTTTCTGATTTACGACACAATTCTGTTGGCCTGTGTAATGTTTATTTGCATACAATTGTTGTTGCGTTTGCTGTTTGGCCAATATATCATATGGGTCACTGAAAAACTGACAACTACAAATTCGGCTGCTGTTTATGCGGCCAGGACATGGGCGTGGCATACTTTTATAAATGCATATGAGATACATGGTTGTAAGTCTGTATGTGCGAACCCTTGCGACCCGCAATAGGTAAACATATTTAGCATGTATCTCTGTGTTCTCATTTCGCTGAATTTATAATTCACAATTCTCATTTGTATACATTTCATTTATGCATGTTATTTTTTTTTGCGCATAGCAAAAAAGTGGCGCAGCATAAATATGTCGAAATCAAAGCTGGCGCAATTTTCATATAATTAATTGCAATTGAACCGATATGCAATTTATTTATTTTATATACGAATTTTCCATCAGGCAGCAGCAGAAATTATGATAAAATTATTCCACGTTTCGTCTATAATAATTTGCCGCACTTTAATTCATTTAGCCTTTAAGTCTTTTATCCTCTATTCTAGGCAGATAAAATACATATTACAAATTGTCGCTTTGTGTACATTTTGCTAGGGCCTCATTAATTATTTTGGGCTGGTTTTATGTGCTCATTATGAATTGAAATTTGTGCAAATTGCGAAAACTTTTAGACGCATCTGCGGGCTTTACTAATTGAGCGGCAAAAACTATTCCGTATTTGCCAGGCAAATACACAAAAAATCTTTTGAATTTGGTTTCAACTACAATTTTTTGTCCGACATCAAAGTAGTGAAAAGCTGAACTAATTGAATGAATTTAAATTTATTTAAATGCAATTGACAGCAGTTAGTGATTTCGATCAAATCAATTTTTGACAATTTTACAATTTAATCAAAAGCCATTTGACAGCCGTTGAATTCAGCAAGAGCGTGTTTATTTGGCAATAGATATGCTATTATTATTATTTGCCCTGCTGAATATATATATGTTTAACTACAATTGCAAATATCAAGTGGTCATATCAAACAGAAACCTAGA